AAAAATGTGCTGTTTCTTTGGAAGGTTATGTTAAAATTTAGATTATTTTCTTTAAGAAACTCCAATTGCAGTGGCCCCGGAAAGGTGTACTTTGTATTGGGCTTTTCACCATTGTGGTGATCATTGTTTGGTTAACATTGCTTTAATTCCCTGGAAGGTGATGCCTCCATTTAGATTATTTTTTTCTAAGAAACCTCAACTGTAATGGCCTTGAAAATGATGTCAGTGTTAGTATCAGAAAAACTTGGCATCACATGTCAAGTCAAGATCAGTAAAAAAGCAGTGTAACCAGGTGAAAGGAGGCTAAAAGGTTCATTTTTTTGGAGGAGGGGCATGCCACCCACTTTGATTCGCCACTGCGATTACATCAGAAACATATCCAACAGCTTGAGTTACGCATTTGAATTTGTTTTCATAAAAATCTTTACATCACTTTTCTTTGTTTTTAGGGCATTTTAATAACATTTTAAGAGTATTTTATTGATCATTTTTGGCGATGTTTTAGGTCAGTCTTATTCAAACTGTGAGGTGCGAGAACTTCACAATAATTTAATTATATGTTCTGATGGTTCATAATGCTCTAATTATTTCTACATTAATAAATTACTGTTGGACCATGTGTGTGCCTTTATTAATTTTAATGAATGGATTAGAAAATATTTTTGATCGCATTGCTTCTATGAAACCAACATTGTCAAGTATCAGTTATTTTAAATAAGCTCTGGTAGTTGGCGGAAAAGAATATGGTTCGCTCTATTGTGGCGTGATTCATTCCTGCAATACTGTGAATTTTGGTACTCTGTAAAGAATCAGTATCCAGAGTTAAGTAACAAGGCCTTGTGTGTTTTTCTTTGTTTTTCCACTTCTTACGAATGTGAAAAAGTATTTTCAGCCATGACTGTGATCAAGAAAAATATAAATCAAAAATAAATCTCCAGAATGAGATGCATACTGACATTTCTAAGTTAGTGCTGAGATTAGATGAACCAAACCAGCCCAACCATTCCACTGACTTTCTGAACTATCAATAGGTTTCTTTTTTTATAGTTTTCCATACTTTGTCAAACATTCATTAAATTCATTAATTACTAGAGTGACAGTGCAAATCACTTGCATTAATTATTTTATTAATTAAAATATATAATAATAAAATGTACATGATGCCCTTACTTTCAGAAAAAAAAATAGATGTTATATTTTTATTTACAATTTAGTTTCATTGAGAGGAGACGTGTGCAGAATTTGTTACCTGAAGGAAGCCACGACAGCAAAATGATTGAAAACCACTGATTAAGGCCATCAAAATCCGCCCTTTTGTTGTTATACAGAATGATTAAAAAAGAAGGAGCAGATTTCAAATATCGCATACCAATGAGCGACAATGCATGGCGACACATACGACACATCACTGGATAGAGAAAACTCGAAGTTTTAAGCTTTTAACTCCACTTCATTTCATTCAATGCGTACAGCGATGCTGTAGTTTGTTTATAAGAAAATGGCCACGCCACGCGAAAAGTCGTTTTGTGTGCTGCAGTATGGAGAGAGTGAATGCATTGGTTCGGTATCTACGAGGGTTCAAATGTTCAAAAAATGTCTCTATCATTTTCGATTAATTTTTTTGTTAGATACTGTGAATGACGTTTAAGAGAATGGTGCGGGTTGCATGTTCGTTAAAAACCCTAATTTTTGGAAATTTGCAAAAGTTTAATTTCTTTTGGAGTCTTCCTACAACAAACATATTAAAGATACATATTTTTCCCTTAATGAAATATCTTACATAGAGATAGATTTTGAAATAAGATCATGTACACTTATTCGAAAATTTGAGTACTTTTCGCGTAATTTTGCGTAAAAATGCGGGCGAGAAAGTTTGTGCTGTTTTAGCACCATTAGTTACGTGAAAGTTTCGTGAGAAGATAAAATAGTTACTGAAGCATTTGGGTGGGGGTGGGAGTCCCTCACCCCCCCTCTCCGTGGATCAGAGCCTTCATAGGCCTATCTGGGCCTTGTTTCAATACACAATCAAAACGTCCAACTCGAAGACTTTCAAAATGGTTGAAGATATTGAGATATAATTATGACAAAACTATTCAGAGCATAGGAGCTTATCAGTTGTATCTATTAGCTTTTTGACATTTTTTCATTTTAAAGATATTGGTGTAATTGTGTTTTTTTGAAATGGAACACTTTACTACTTTCACGCTTAGTGTTACATTTAGAAAAGAAAGATTAATACAAAAGTAGGAAACTGTATTCCCTTCAAAATTGGGTGCATTTATTTATCACAATTATCTATTAAACAGCCCTGACTGTCATGGCCACTGTGCATGCTCAGTGCGCATTACGTTGTATGTGCATTGCAGGTTGCATAATTCATTTTTTTCCCTCGCTACCGCGGTAGAGAGAAATTATGTAATGCTGCGCGAAAAAACTGCGAATTTTCGACAGAAAAAAACTCATTACAAGACCGTTGTAACGAAAAGGTGGATAAATAGAGTTGCTAAATTTAGGAGAAAAAGTCCTCTAACATGTGGTGTAGCCAGAATCCGTTTTGTGGGTCCTTGATACCGAAAAATAGATTGACGGCTAAACATACCTGTCTGTGAACAACGCCAAATCGTTGAAATTGCCGGCCAAACCGTTCAGCCGGTTTTTCTCCAAAATTGATATTCCCCTTTCGATCTGGCAGATGTCGCGGCCCCTTGATACTAAAACCGATATTTTTATTTTGGGGGTACTTTACATGAAGCCCCTAGGACATTTTCAGTTTTTTTTAAATAGCTCCATTGTTTTTTATTATATTTTGTTGTTGGATAGTGTAAATGACGTTTAAGAGAACGGCGGTCTCATTTTCCTTGAAATGTCATCTATAATTTTTCGAAAATTTGAATATTCGCGTAATTTTACGAGAAGAGTAAGCAATTTTAAATTTTGTTGTCACATTTTTTTTCTCGAAAACGGCTCTATCGTTTTTGATTAAATTTTTTTGTTGAATAGTCTGAATGGTGTTTAAGAGAATGGTGCATATTTCATGTTGGTCAAAAACCCTGATTTTTAGAAAAGTGAAAAAATTCAAATTTTTTTTCGGCCTCTTCTTACAACTACAATTATGAAGATATATTGTTTCTTAATGGAAAGTGTTCATCAAAACAGATCTTCATATAATGTCATGTTGAATTTTTTGAAAATATGAGTATTTTTTGTTTAATTTGGTGACAAATATAGTTGTACGCACACAATTTGCACTTTGTGAATTGAATGTAATGCTAGGGAGTTGGATGTTGTGAAAGTTAGATTTTTTTATTTTATATTTCTTAGTTTGTTTCTTACTTTCGAGCTTTTATTATATTATGTTTTAAAATTAATCTTTTAGAAATTATTTAAAATGTATTTTAAATTGCGTCCTTTGAGTTAAATATGAAAACAAATAGATGATTTCACTTAGCTTAATAAGATGTGAGAATGAAGAGTAATGCATGTAAAAACTGAGTAATTTTGATGAATATAAAAGTATTATATTTAATTATTATAGTTTTCTATCCAATGTCATTTTCTTGTGAGCAGTATCAACAATGCTAATTGGCAAAATGTGTGTCCCATATGAATTAGCAGTCATTGTTGCTTGCAACCCATTGTCGTAACACAATAGTGATATCAAATATAAATAATGACAGCTGTCTTTTATTCATATTAATTTAAACTAATAATTTTATTTAAGGTTAAAATATGCCACATGCATCATTGGTACATTTATGTAGAATGTAAATACCTTGAATTCAATGGCAGAAAGCTGTTTTTGTTTAAGCATTTGAATTTAAAAAATATATGTATTTTTCATACTTCATTTGTTCAAGGATTTTTTAAATGTTTTTTTTAGTTGAAGTGTAAGACAAAAATTACCTTATTATAATATTGCATAGCCATTTACAATATCGCAAAAAAGTGTGTGCTGTTTTAGCACCACTAGTTGTGTAACAGTTCACCAAAAGTGGTATTAGTGCCATGAAGAACAAATTTAATTTGAAGAAAAAACTTTTTATTTTTAATAATATATGAGAGGTACTAAAAGATGGAAACTTTTGGAATTTTTGAAAATTTAGGGTTTTCAGGAGCTATGCCATCTTTTCAAGTGTACAGTCTATTCTGACAAGAAATTTAGAGAAAAATTTGGAATAATTTTTGAGAAAATATTGAAAATGTCCCAAGATCTTCAAGTAAATGCTCTCGGAATTTAAATAATTTTTTCAAAATTGCAAGGTTTTGTGTTGGGCAAGAAATATTCTTTTTGGAAAAAATGCTATGACAAGTGTACTTCACAGATGGACTGGGCAAAGGAGAGATGGTCGTTTTCAGGAAAAACAACTATAATCTTGAAATTGATTTTCAGCTGCATTTCAAAACTTTCTCTTTACTAGGTATATTGCTCCATATAAACTTACATATATGAGAAAGAAAAATTACTGTCAGGGTCCCTTCAAAAGTATATATTCATAAAAATCTCATCTTTAGGGTTGAAAAATTATATTATAAAACATGAATGGAAACAAAATTAGTATATCTGATCTATTTTTATTCATACTTCTCTGAAACTTCCTTTGAATTTAAGGGGGTATTGTACAGGGTGATTAAAACAGGCAATTTATTATGATCCAAGTTGTATTTATGAAGTATATAAATTAATAAAATAAAAAATTATGGACTTAAAAAATATAGAAGAAAATTTCAATAATGTCATTATTTATTACAAAGTTGAAAGAATTTTATAATTATTTAGTACTACTTATAACTCAAATCTTTATAATATCATTGCTAAAGTATTTGAAATACTATTTATTCTCTAAAAAAATGAAGATAACTATTCCCCCTCCTATTGAAAACAATATATTATTGGTATAAAATATCTATTAATAAACCAGAATTACAAAAATTTGAAATGGTTTATTTCATGTATTCTTTTGTATATTTTGTCAATAAATATGCTTTTTTCCTCTTTATAGGTCAGAAAATGGGAACTACTTAATTGTTGTTGGATCCAACACCAATAACATTTGCGCTTCACCCCGAAAGCCAGAAATTCACTCTTCAAAGGAAAATACAGCCAATAATGTCAAGAAACCATTAAAACAACTTCAGCCAAAACCTCCTGGATTTCAAGTTTCAGATGGATTAAGTTCTTTAACAAATAAGAAGAAACAACGACGTAAAAGAAATATTTATCCTAAAATTCCTGGAACTGACTTTCCTTATAAATGTGATGATTGTGGTCGTGTCTATAAATGTGCTGCTTATCTAACAGTTCATAGGAGGATGCATGAAGGTGAAAAGAATTTTGTATGTAATATTTGCAATTACAAGACTTACTGGAAAGATCGACTTGTAGTTCACATGACCCGTCATAAGGATGAACGACCTATAAAATGTAATCTTTGTGACAAATCTTTCAAACTTAAGACAGCTCTTACTATTCATATGAATAAACATGCAGAATTAAAGTATCAGTGTGACTCTTGTGATTTTAAGACATCATGGAAAGAGAGTTTAAAATCTCATTTAAGAACTCATTCAAGAGATCTTCCTTTTGCCTGTGAAATTTGTCATAAGCAGTTTCCCGCAAAAGCTGCGTTAAATCAGCATATGAAAAAACACACAGATAAATTTAATTGTGATATATGTGGGAAAGAATTTTTATCAAGTAATGCACGAACTGAACATAAATATGCTGCTCATGAATTTAGGAAACCTTATGAATGTCAAGTCTGTAAAAGAACATTTTCTTACAGAAGTTCATTACGTTCTCATGCCAAGACCCACATGGATGTTCCTCAAGTGAAAACCTTTCTTTGTGATATCTGTGGGAAAGAATTACGAAGTAAGAAAAACCTTCAACTTCATAAATTAACTCACACAGGTGAAAAGCCAATAATGTGTGATATCTGTGGCAAGTCTTTTGCTAATAATATTATTCTGAAGGTTCACTTACGTACACATACAGGAGAAAAACCTTATCAGTGTGACTTTTGTATGAAGAAGTTCACTGCTCGTCCTTCTTTGGTTGTTCATAGAAGATATCACACAGGAGAAAAACCCTATGTTTGTCATGTTTGCAATAAAGGCTTTGTATCAAGTACACTTCTTTTCAGGCATCAGAAATCTCAACATGGATGTTAATATAAATTGTAAATATTCACAAAAATAATTATATATTATAAATTTTTGTAATTGAAATTTGTTTTTGTAATGTTAAAAAAGGTGAGGATGTGTTAAATGTATTCTTATAAAATCTGCCATCGTAACCTATCTTTTAATGCTTGTATGCAAGGGATTGTAGGTTCAATCGTCTTTACACTTTCTTGAGATGAATTGAATTTGTAATTTTCTACTCAACTGAATGCAAAACTAATATTTTAATGAATCCTGAGACTCTCTTTCTCATCTTACAAGGCAATTTATTAATTGCTTTGATGAGCCTTGAGAAAGCTGTACTATAGAAATTTTAGTTAGTACATTGTATCTTCTTTAAAGATATTAGGCTGATTAATATTGATGCTTGAACCATCCAAGTAATAATTAATTAAATGTGTAAAGCTGTATATTTCTTTGTAATTTTGTGGGAGGTAAAAATCTTAAGAGAATAAAATGATTTCTTTCTTCCTGTCATGTTTAGAAAAGGATGAAAGAAATGTAAATATTCTGCATTTTGTTAAGAAGAATTTGATAATGCATCTGAAAAGTTAAAATGTAATGTTATTCTATTTTATATTAATGTTAAAAACAATAATTTCATGAATGTTTTATGTAAGAGGTCAAATGTAACTGTAAATTTGTTGTAATAACTGAAATATAATTATTATTTCTTAAATGGTAAATATTTGGGCCAGTATCTTTCAATATTTTCAAATACATTTTTTCTGTAAATATTCTGTAGTAGATGGGTAAAAAGCTAGTGATCCGGAAAAGTACTAGGAAGACCTAATTAATTTTCTAAAACATTTCTGTGAGATTTGATCAAAACATACTAACCCAAAAATCACATTTGGATACAATTCTAGCTATTCTACATTTTTAAATAGAAATTAATTCCATTCTTATCCTTGAATTTTAATAATTTTGTTTTCTGAAGAATTTATTTGAATGTTTCCAACCTCTTTAATAAAGTAATTGTGTTGAGTACCCAGAGTTGTATGTAAATGTAATTTTGCAGTTATCATATTCTGACCAAGTACCACAGAATTAACACGAAAATTTATTTTCTGAAAAGATGATTTTATGTAGATTTAGAACCCATACCTTCTTTATTATCTATTATATGATGTTATTTTTACAGTAGCCTATAGAAATTGTTATTTTTGTTTTATATCTTGTAATTACTTTTTCACATTGGAACTGAAAGTGAGATTACAGCACTCTCTATGGAGGTTGTAATATTGATGTGCATTTACAAAAACTTACTTTACTTACTTCAACAAAACTTACAAAAGTACAGATACTTACCTTCTATGAGCATCACACCCATGAAATGACTCACTCATTTGTTATCCCTGGCCAGGGTTCTTGAAAATGATATTAGTTATTGGCAATTTTAAAATTATGTAGGGTATAATTTATATTTTAGCAACAATTGAAGAAGGGGAGATAGACAAAATGAGAGTATTTAAGTATTTGCTGTCAAAAGAAACTGAGTGGAATATGAGCTTTGATATAACTTTGCTATTTATTACACATTTTTCTTAACTATGTAAAGATGAATCTTGAATATTATGTTACTTTCACACTGCTTTATGGCATCTTATGTTTTACTGATTGTGAGTGATGTATGTATGTATGTATGTATGTACAATGGTGCAATAATTTCTGATGAAGACTGGTTCTACCATTGGCATCCTGGCCTTGTGGCCATGGGTTTAAGGGTATGTGTGGTTAGCACATCGACATCCCTACACTGTATTCTAGTCTTCTCAATGTGAGAAGTGAGCTTTCTCATTGTCACACAGCAATGTATACTGGAACATTGCAAGGAAAGCACACACTATATTCTTGCCTGACTGGGAATCAAACCGGGGTCGCATCATGGAAAGCGTGCACGCTGACCCACCCGTGAAGGTGATTGTGAGTGATGAACTGGTGAATTTTGTTAAATTTAATTTTATAATCTGATTTTAAAAATTTTATTATAAATGTTTATTACTATAAAATTGTAGTTATAAAGAAAAAAGTGCTATAAATATATATGAGAGCATAAACGAAAACTACTGAAAATTATATTATTTGGAAGTACTAAGTAAGGTGATGCATTTTTTCATGGTTTAACTCATAGGGGCATAAAAAGAGAGGGTGAAAGAGGGCACATAAAAGTAGCAACCTCTGCCTTTACAGAGAGAAGAAAGACAGATGTGCTAGTTATATTCTCGTCATGGTTATGATTAAGAGAAGAGCCCAGAAGTTTGGCAAAATGTCTTTTTTTTATTGTGTGATTTATGACTTTTAACTATAGAAATCGCTTAATAGTGGTTCTGAACTTTTTAATAGATTTTCAGGTTGCCTTTTTTGCCTATTTTTGCCTTTTTCTTCCTTTTTTGTTATTATTTTTGTTGTTTTCTCCTGACACTGAGCTCCTTCAAGCTGGAAACATACTTGCAAACCTGGACAATACAAAGGCATAGTCATGTTTTGTCTTTCTGTGAAACCAAAATCTTGAGGGTCAAGTTGTGTTAAAAATCTAAATAAGATAGGGAGATGTTACAGGTTAAGATTTTTGAGTTTTTGAATTGATGCCACCTCACTCGAGGAATTGTTTCCTATATATGAGTGTGGCCTCCAATCCCTTTTGAGGACAGAGCTCTATATATAGGATGTACCCTTCTCGTTGCTGGTGATTACATGTGTGAAGAACAAAAACTATAATTCCATTTTCACTGATGCCATTTCAAGACTCACACAGTGCACAATTGCAATTCTTAAAGACAGCTTTGAGAGTAAAACAAATTTGTAATTATGCCAGGTAGTCATGTGCAATCAAGATTACAAAAAAATTTTCTACCACCACCTACCACATAGTGCTCATGTAAATGTTAGAGTTTGAATAAAAATGTGAATCATTTGAACTATTAATTTTTTACAATAATTCTTTTTAAATAGTGATTTTTCATTGGTTAAGTGCCTTTTTGCATCCCTGCTATAGCCAGAATAAATACCTTTTTTGTTATTTAAGGTCGCATCAACTTCTCGGTCATTAGCGACCACTATTGTGTGTAACAGTATGGTAACTATGAGGATGACACAATATGATGATGATGATAGGGGGTGAAAGGGCGAACACAATACAAACATGCCCGAGGCAGGACTCGAACCCGTGATCCTTTGGGTCGAGATCGTTACGACACTACTGCGATCACTGCTAGCGATCTCAGCCATCCGGACTGGCAATAAATGCCTTTGCCTGTCTATTTTAGGTAAAATGCCTGAACTTCTGGGCTCTGATTATGAGTATGATGAGAGTGCCTAAAAGGTATCAGCTTGTCATGTAAAATATTAGAAGAATAAATATTAATACAAAACATCAAAAATAATTTTGTGTAATATATGGAGTAGTTAGTCATTCTCATTGTCATATTGTTCAAAAGTTCAGAACTAATGATAACAATAATTTTTTCACTTTAACAGTTGAGTCACATACTGTAAGACTAGATCTTGTAATCCATTTAATAATTCTTTTCCATGTAGTAATTCCACAGGAGAATGAAATATCTAAAGAAATATAAAAAAGTTGATAGATTAACCAGAAAAGCGTGAATATTTATTAAAGTATAATAGTAATATTTGTATTTTTAATAGATTAATAAATTAATTTTTAAATTAACTATTTCAAAATGCTATATGCATATATATGCATGTACACACACATAAACAATATTGCCACTCCACATTGTACAGCTCGTATCAAGGAAAACTGAACAACTTGTAGAGTTATTTTTTCTGATTTCTTCAGACATTTAAACATCTCACAGGCTATATCTTTGACATCCACCTTATGTTACAAGTCATGGCTAATATTTGAATTTGGTGAATTTGGAAACTAGTTTGTTAATGTTCACATTATCCAAAATGAATGCCTAACGATTTCCACCTTGCCCCTATGTAACACAGGGTAACTTTGCCTCAAATCCGTGACCCCCTTAAGTTTTATGTAATTTGTTGATGACCCCTCTGTATGTTTTGCAAAAATTTGCAATTTGTAACCCAATTTTTACTGTTTTCTACACTGAAACATCTCTTGGGATGATCAAATATGGTACTTTAATTTTAAAAAGTTCATAGATGTGATAAAAAAAAATGTTGAAATAGGCAGGTGCAAATGCAACTTACAACCTATGTAACACTTCATGTGTATAACTCAAAAGTTATGCCTTTAAACCTGGTTTGTGTGGCCAACGAGCTCAACTTATGTTTTGCATGCTGAAATCTGGATTTTTTGAAACCTTTATTCTATTTTTGGGAGTTTAATATATCTGAGTTCTCTCACTTCATTCAAGGGTGCAGTATTTTGATTAGAAGCATGCCATCCCTTGAATTCTATTAAAAAATGTTACACTAAACAATTTTCCCCATCATATGGTGTGGGGAAAAGTGGTGGGCCACATTTACATTTGTTAGGTGCTCATGAGTAGAGGATGCTGCAGTGACATAAATAAAATTATTTATAATTTATTCTATTGATATACATCATTCCCGACTAATAGATGATTGTAATAAATAAATGCATGGGCAATTATTTCAGTTGTCATTATGCAAGTAAAACATTAATCGTATTCATCTTGATGAAAGATGACTAATTTCATTTTTGGCATCCCTCTTCTTTTGGCTGGATTGTGGTAAAAAATATGTCTTGTTCATTGAATCACAGAGGATTGTTGATGAGTGCCATGAACAATTCTTTTCCAAATCATTTAATGATGTTAAGAAATTACGATTAATGTATTTGATATTGTACTCTAAGAATTAATATTATTTACACACTGGAAATTAATTTCTTGTGCATTGTGATAATTAGCAATTTATAAACTTAAAACAGTTGATTGTATTATGCCTGACAAAATAACTTTAATTCTTATTCCCACTAAGTTCTTGTTCCCTCCATTTCCTTCAATTTAATTTGTTATTTGAAAAAAAAATTAGTATATTGTTCTCCTTTGTGTAGGTCATCACTTGGATACTGCAAATTATTCGTTGGATCCAAGATTAATCAAATTGCACCCAGAGAGACAGACATAACAACTTCTAATGGAAAGTTTGTAGACAAGTTAGATGTTTCCAAGCCATCTAACCCTTCGAAGCTGAAATCTTCTTCTGAAAGTTACTTGCAAGCTGACATTAAAGAAAATAGTAATAAGAAACATAAAGTCTCTGATCTTCAAAAACATAACAAAGTTGGGCCTCTTTACAAATGTGATGACTGTGAGAAAGTATACAAGCATGCTTCAAATTTAGTATCTCACAAAAAGATCCATAAAGGAGACAAAGATTATATATGCAATATGTGTGATTATAAAACATACTGGAAGACACATCTTACAGTTCATTTGAAGTCTCATAGAGATGAACGACCATATAGATGTAATATATGTGAAAAGTCTTTTAAACACTCATCTAACTACAAATCTCATATAAAAACTCATGAACTTACCAAGCAATATACATGTGACTTGTGTAATTTTACAACTTCATGGAAAAGTAGTTTGGATGGACACATCAAATGTCACACCTTAGATCTTCCTTTTCAATGTGAAGTGTGTGACAAGAAATTTCCAATGAAACGCTACTTGAATGCCCACATAAAAAAACACACAGGAGCACATAAATGTG